CTTTCTTATTTTTTACATGTAAGCAGAATTGTTGTTTACTATAGTCACCTTACATGGCATAGTAATAATTAGAAACAGCTACTCTTGGAGAGAGAGAGATTTCATTATTATCTGTTCATTGTTCTTTCAACATATGTTTTCCTTGCCTTATGCAGTCTCGTTTATTTTTCTTCATGCTACAGGACCTATTCGGAAAAGTGCTGGCTGGAGAGTTGAAAGTTGGCCATCCCATGATTGATATTCTTGAGATCAATAAATTGCGAAGGCAGTTACTCTTCCATTCTTACACTTGGGATCGATGCCTAATCCACGCTTTGAGATCTAATAATAATAGTCTGCAGGAAGGTTTGAACAGCTCTACTCAAAAACCTAGTACTGCTAAGGAGAAAAATGTTGCTTCTGTGGAGAAGTTTGTTGAGACTGCAGCGCCTTATAATACCGCTAAAGGCTTTAGCAGTTGTGATTCCTTTCTTCTGGAGAAAAAACCTCGTGTAAGCCTTAATCAACTTGAAAATGGAAGTGAAGGTAGCGAGTCAAGTAGGGGTCTTGAAATAAAGAATTCAGACCAGGATTTAAACAATAAAAAACAAAATGATACTTCCGCTTCTTCTAGTGCAAATATTGGCAATTCTGATCCCCTCGAATCTGGGAAAATTGTGCGGAGGGCCTTATCAGAGGGGGAGTTCCCTACAGTTGCAAACTTGTCAGATTCCCTTGATGCAGCATGGAGTGGTGAAAGTCACCCATCAACTACGGCACCTGAAGTGAACAGCAATTCAGCTGCAATTAGTTCTTTAACTGTCTCAATTTCTGCCAAGGCAAGGTCTGAGTCAGACGTTCAGGGTAGTGAGCAAAATGGAAAGCCAACTGCGAGTTCTACCGCTGTATTTCCATCGAAGGGAGGTGACGACTCGAACAGTCTTACCAGTGTGGGAATGGGAATCCCATATATCTATAGCTCTTTTAATACTTACACTGCTAATTATCAGAAGCTTGGTATTGGCGAATACCATCCAGTGTGTGTCCTGTCATTTTGGGAGTCAGAAAGGCAAAGTGGTGCCAGGTTTTTTCTCCCAGTCGGTTTTAATGATACCATTGTGCCTGTTTATGATGATGAACCAACTAGCATTATAGCGTATGCGCTCACCTCACCAGATTATCTTGCCCAGATATCTGACTGTGAGAAATCAAAAGATGGTCTCGATTCTTTGATCTCATTGCCTCTCTTTGATTCAGTAAATTTACTCTCACTCAATGCATTGAACGAAGCAACCTGGGATAGCCTTAAAAGTTTCGGATCAACGGATGAGAGTGTCTCATCCACATCTGGATCTAGGAGCTCCCAGAACACAGACCCGCTTTTGTCCACCAAGGATTTGCATGCCAGAGTATCTTTCAATGATGAGAGCCCTCAGGGAAAGGCCAAGTATGCCGTGACTTGTTATTATGCAAAGCAGTTTGAGGCTTTAAGGAGGATTTGTTGCCCATCGGAATTGGATTTTATAAGGTCTCTTAGTCGTTGCAAGAAATGGGGTGCCCAGGGTGGCAAGAGCAATGTTTTTTTTGCCAAAACCTTGGATGACCGGTTCATCATCAAACAGGTTACAAAGACAGAGTTGGAATCATTCATCAAATTTGCTCCTGCTTATTTTAAATATTTGTCTCAGTCAATCAGTTCCGGGAGTCCGACTTGCTTGGCTAAGATTGTCGGCATATATCAGGTATAGTGATTGTTCTTTTATGAGGATTGCTTAAACTGCTGTTGGCCCAGATAGCAGTCGGCATTTTAATGGCTTGCAAACATTTCTATTTTAATTTTACTACATTACAACAATAACAAGCAAAATGACGTCTACAACCATTTCCCCTTCATCATTGGACCTATATTATTGGTTACCCTTTGATGGGGTTGTTCTTAATGAGCTCTTAAAATTTCTTGTGCTTTTTAGAATACCTTAAGTGGACCCATATTTCATGTTTGGCCATTGCATTGTGCTGGTTTTTTCTATTTATTTATTTTACGATTAGATGAAGTTGACATTGATTGGAAAATGGTCTTATCCAGAAACGTTTTTGGATATCTGTTTGCTACTGATACATATGCAGTTTTGATTGCTTCCAAGGTCCAAAAAAAATTTCTATTTTCCGTTAATTTTTTTTCTTCACCAGTGGAAAATTTGTTGCCTTGTTGGTAATGTGAACTTTGGCTTTTTTTATTTCTTTTGTTGGATTTAAAGGTTTCTTCCAAGCACACTAAAGGAGGGAGGGAAACCAAGATGGATGTTCTGGTGATGGAAAATCTTCTCTTTCGCCGTAACATCACACGCCTTTATGACCTTAAAGGATCTTCAAGAGCAAGGTACAATCCTGATACCAGTGGGAGCAATAAAGTACTACTGGATCAGAACTTGATCGAAGCAATGCCAACCTCTCCAATATTTGTTGGAAATAAGGCAAAGCGGTTGCTTGAGAGAGCTGTCTGGAATGATACTGCATTTCTCGCTGTAAGTGTAACTCGCTTGCGTACCAGGGGAAACTCTAAAACCCCTTTTTAGATGTGGAATTTTATGCTGATGTTGGAGTTGTTGCAGCAACTTTAGTTTTGCCTGTTGAAATAGAATTTTCTAATCACATTCTTTTGGAAATGGATAGAAAAATAAGAACAACCAATTGCAACGCCTTTTTAGTTTCAGTTATGTAAGCCGTCTTTTATTGGGGTTTCACTCTGTTTGATGTGTAAGTGGTCTCTTATGTTTTGTTAATTGCTCGTCCTAGTCCTACTAATGCGGAGATTATGGTCTTGCAGTCTATTGATGTGATGGACTACTCATTACTTGTTGGAGTGGATGAGGAAAGGCACGAGCTGGTTCTTGGCATTATCGATTTTATGAGGCAATATACATGGGATAAGCACCTCGAGACTTGGGTGAAAACGTCAGGCATTCTTGGTGGGCCAAAGAATGCGTCTCCGACCGTGATCTCCCCTCAAATGTACAAGAAACGATTTAGAAAAGCTATGACTGCATACTTTGTCATGGTGCCAGATCAGTGGACACCTCAGACGATAATCCGCAGCGGCTCGCAATCGGACGTTTGCGAGGACAATTCCAAAGGTGGGAACACCTTAGATTGATAAAGGTCATATTTTTTGCTGTATGTCCAAAATGTTAGTTCAAAATAATCATCACCTTCCCTTTTTTTTCTTGTATTATACACCTTTCCCTCTTCTATTCTTTTCCCCTCCCAAGCCCCCATGCGTGTTGTTCTGATAGATGTACATGTTGAAAATTCTCTCTTTGGGCAGCAGTCAAAGGTTCTAAATGCCGAAGTGTTTTTTCAGCAAGGGCATAGTGCCTCACTCCTGTTCTTCTTTGTACAATGTCTTATAGCCAAAGCCAAAAACGAAAGAGAAGGAATTACAGAATGTCTACATGTAATCGTCGCATGTGTTTTCTTCTCTCTGATTCATTTCCCTTGCTCGTTTGGGTTCCACTCTATCTTGGTCCCATGGATGTCTCTGCTTTATCATCTCTAAATGGCAATTTGCAACCGTTGATTGGGTATTTTCTTTTGCTTTGATAAAAGATGCAATGAACTGTTTCTGCCTATTGAAATGCTTGATATCTTATTTAAATTGTCAGAAGCAATACGGGTTGCAATTCTATTGTGTATTTTTCAATTGATTTTTCAATGCTAGGCACCACATTTTTACGCTGAAGTTGTACATTTGAATAATCCTCCCGCGGCCTGCTGAGGAACGTCTAGGCTGTCACGTTGTTGAAGGGCCCGATCCGGCAATTTCGGATCGTGAAGCCCATGTTCTGATTCGGGTCTGACTTTCCCTGGGCCCTGATGATGTTCAACTGACTTGCCATGGGCTGTCTCGGCCGGATGCTACAGTTCTGGAGCACGGCTGCGGTGTTCCTGAAGATGAAATCTACAATCCCCGTGGTGAGAATCACAGTAGAACTGTCGGCCAGAATACGCGTAGAGAGTGTCTTGATACGCGTCATTGAACAAATTAAAGTTCAGGGACTACATTGCACATTGGGCTAAAGTTCAAGGACAGTATTAAACAAATTAAAAGTTCGGAGATCACATTGCACATAGGGTTAAAGTTCATGAATTATTTGTCATTTTCCCTTAATATAATAAATCAAATGGTTAATACTACTAAAAATCCTAAACTAAAATACCCCGAAAACCCTAAATTTGCCCATTATGACACAAATATCCTAAAAAAATTTTCATATCATAAAAAATCCTTAACTTATACCAGTGCGACAAATATGCCCTAGATGAAATTGAAATAGAGGGTACATATGTAACGCATACAAGTTTGAATTTTTTCATGACACAAAAAAATTGGGGTGTTTATGTTATAGTGGGCAAGTTTAGGGTTTTGGATGACACTAAAAAAAGTTTGGGATATATATGTCACAATTGACAAAATTTTGGGCTTTTGATGTTATTCACCCTAAATCAAAAGAAACCATAGATTTGGTATTCAATTCCTTTTTTTTATTTTCCTGCTTTTATGAGGCCATAGGATCGAATTTAGTAGGACTCTTTGGAAATATGCATGAGATGGACAAGTCGCAATTTTGGTGCATATCTTCCAAATTCCATCACTTCATTGATAGAGTGATGTGACTCTACATGTGATGATACCTAATTCTTCAGTGATGCCATGATGTAATGATATGACACCTAATGGCCAAAACCTAATTCGATAGTGCTGTATCTAAACTTTAAAATCAAAGCAGTTAGGTGTGTTTGAATGACTAGTAATGTGGACCGATGTGACCTTATGTCCTAAAAAACACTTAGTGAAATCTTCATTTCATGTAACACATGATTCCTTTCAATCAATTACTTCGGGTTTGATTGGAGAATGCAATTTGTTGCTAAAGCGTGGACGATAATGACATGTTTGGTGCCTCGCAAGATCCATGATGAACTCAGAAGACCAGAGCGAGCCAAAAACCGAGGCGAAAATATGTGATAACCATCATTTATACCCTTTAATCATGTTTAGCGAAAGAAAGAATCAAATTTGTAAGTACACAAAATATAACAACATCGTCATATTAATAGATTTGTATGTAGATCAGCCTTTAAACCCCGAGGCCAGCCGTGTAGGCCACACCGGTTGACGGCAACCAGGAGTTCCCTTCGATGAATTGGGCCACGGTGAAGTTATTTGCCTGCGCCGTGTTGTTCAACACGTGAAACCCAGGCCACTTGACCCGCCCGGTGAGGCCGGCGCCCGGCCCGGAATTCATGAACTCCCCGTAGTACAAGGTGTCCAAGGCAAACTCACCATTCCACTCTAGCCATCCTTCTGGCCTGATGCAATTGCTCATATAAGACTGCATGAATATGGTCCTTGAGTATAGCTTCCATGGCCTCCCTAAGTACGTTGGCGTCGAATTCACGGATGGCGCCAGATCGGAGTCGGCCGAGACGTTGCAGAACTGGAATGAGAAGCCCGTGTCCTGGTTCAGGTCCCTCCGGCCCTGGGCCGTGACGGTGTTCTTCTGCTGGGGGAGGCCCTTCTTGGCCAGGATCTGGCAGTTCTGGAACACAGCCACCGCGTCCCCGAAGATGAAGTCGACGGTCCCGCTGATGCGGCACTCACGGTAGAACTGACGCATCGTGTGGGGGTAGAGCGTGTCCTGGTAACCCCTGATTGTGCACCGGTAGTAGACGGACAGATCGGAGTCCGACCGGAGGGCCACGGCCTGGTGCTTCTGTGGGCCCGCCGCGTTCTCGAACGCCATGTCACGGGCTATGAACCCTCTGCCGCTGACGGCTGCATTTGTGATTGACAGTGTTAGATGCGCAACTTTATGGATAGAAAACGTGGGCAACTCATAGCGCCAGACTGGTTTCTTTTCGGATGCTCAATTCAGAGCATAACTTTACGAACAAGCGACCTTAGTCATGTTCCCAAAAGATGATTACCAAGGACATTAAAGTTTATACTTTGGTGCATAGTTAATCAAATTCAATAAATGATGTGAAAAATTATCTGGATACTTAACCCTTAAATTCAATGAAGCATAGTATAAGTAAAAAAAAAATACTAACCCTCCTGTACATTGTGATTTCTACATATGATGAGCGAACAACAAAAGAGCAGTCGGATAAGCGAACCCTAATAATTTTCTCCTCGACCTGACGCGCGCCCGAGCCATCTGTCCCGCGATAGCTCGCACCGACAGTTTCGATTTACTTTGTCATATGTTCACTAAATAAGGAGGGACACCATATGGCATCATCAATTGCCACACAATCTCCACCACCACCACCACAATAACTACAAATATACACAAAAGAACAAATTGAACAAGCCCATCAAGTGAACATGGTTAGGGGGACCCAGATGCATGTACTTCTTCTCAGTGAACCCAACTGACCAAAATATAACCAGACATCATGTATCTTAAGTTCGACCATAAGACATAGGTATTAGGTTATAACCCAATACTAGGAAAAAATTTTAAAAAAATTTGGAAGGTCATAAGGCTCACCAAATGTTGCTGTCCGGAATGTGGTCCAGCCGTCGACGAAGCTCCGATTCCCCGAAATCACCGTTGCATCCATCCCGTCGCCAACCATCATAATGTTCCACTTCTTCTTCTTGATCTCCACGTTTTCCCTATACACGCCCTTCTTCACATAGATCACGAACCGGCGCGTCCCGTAATCGGGCACGGCTGCGATCGCGTCCTCCACCTTGGTGAAACTGCCGCTTCCGTCCTGTGCCACCACTAGATCTGCTGTGACCCCGCTCACTTGCAACAGCTTCCGGTCCTCGCTTTTCACCCAACGAGGAAACCGGGGGCTGTCGCCGGAGAGCTTCCGTCCCGGGCCCTTGCCACCTCTGCCGCCGCCTCCTCTGCTGGTGGTGGAGTTGGAAGAAGATGGGTGGACCATGGTGAGGAGTTCTGTGACAAGTGAAGTAATTTGGTTGAGACTGCCGGAGACAACGCTCTTGACAATGCCACTGGTGCCCTCAAAGCCATCTCTGCATGTCTCCTGGTTTGCAAGTGCAGCACTGAGCCATGTCCTCAAGTCAGAACTGAGATCCCCAGTACTGTCGTGTTTGCCTGAATGAACAAACAATAAATAAATAAACGAACATGCATTATTAAAAAAAATCAATTGGAAAGAGTAAAATAAAAAGCATAAAGATAATAGGGTAATAGAAATGAATAATGATAGACGGGTCGATACAGGACTCTACCTCGATCATGAAAGTACGAAGTTGTAACCTACCACACATCCTAGTACCCCCAAAAAAATTTCGTGTTTCTTATCTTTATGTTTTTTTTTTATCTTTATGTTCATATATTAAATTGTCCCATAATTTCCTTCAATACACATAATTTTTTATCAAGAAAAAGAAGATCAAGAACAGCATTGCACCGACAAAACTTGGTGCTGAAAATCAAGAAAAGGAACAGAAGGCAGGAAGCAGCAACAGAGGGAGAGGGTGTCGCACCAGATGGGTTCTGAGCGGCGGAGATGGACCAGCTCAGCTCGTCGACGGAGAAGTCCAGCAAGTCGAGGCAGTCGGAGACGGCGTTGGAGAGCCTGAAGTCCCCGAACACGGTGCCGAACTGGGACACAATGCCGGTGACCTGCCGGAGCACCTCGACGGTGGACCTGAGGGAGCTCAAGAACTGGGAGGACGGCACCGTCAGGCACTCGCTCTGCAGGAGATCCGGGGGCCCCGAGCTCGGCGCGCCGTCGCCTGAGCTGGCGAAGCAGCACAACAGGATGGCGAGGGAGATGACGATGGCGGAGGCGACCTTAGGAGCCATGGATGTGAGGAACATGAAAACGAGAGAAGACAGAGAGGGATGGAAGATGATGAAGGAGAGAGTGAGTGTATTTAAGGCCTAAGCGAGGGGAGATTAGATAGGTTGTGAAGGGAATTTATTGGGAGCGTTGGCGTTGTATCGATCGTTAGCTATAGTAGATGACATTGCCAAATAGGAAAAAAAAAAAGGTCAGCTGTTTGACAACTAGACTATGATTTTATAGTTAGATTTGATCTACCATAAAAGAAGAATATTGGAAGAGAAGAATGAGTGAAATGAATGAGGAGGGTGCCGCAAGAAATAATTTTTTTTTCCTTGAAGAAATGATATGGGTTTTTCTCTCTCCTTTCTTTTCTCTTATTTGCATAGGTATGAATTTTACTTTATTAATGAGTGCTCTAATAAAGTTGAGATCAATTTGTTTTGGAAAATGTAAAAAGAAAGAACACCTTTTCATGTCAATCTTTTTTAGGAAATTTAAACTTGATTTTATTACGCGTTATTTCATGGATCAGGGTGTTTTGCATGTCTTAGAGTGCTAGCTTATGTGATCAATGACCACAATTTCACTCTAATCAAAGTAATAATCATAGTAAAAGACGGCCTAAAATGGGTCATGTTATCATTCATTCTTGATCGGAGAAAACTTATTCCCAACTAGTCTTGTGATTAGTGAGTTATAAATATGGACATAAATCGTATTCGTTTTAAATTTTCATATGAGCGACGTTCATACTCATAGCACAACAGTCAAGGCATTTCCTCCTACTAAAAATGGAAGAGTAGTTATTAGAATTTACCGTTTAGTGTTGATCAACTAAGACAATTGTCGTGTGACCACTAAGCGTGGTTTGCTGAGTGGTCCTGTGCTCACCTATATTTTATAAAGGCACAAGTTCAATTTCATGTCGTGGGCGACTGATGACGTGTTCTCCCGAGCGCTGCTACCTCTCTAGAGAAAGAGTTAAAAGCTCCTAATACACCAATGGAGCTACAACAACATTGCGGACTCTCCAATCTCTAAATTTGATGTCTCGGGCACTGCCAAGTAGTTATATGGCTCAAACTCGGGACTCTTTTGAGAACGCTCGACGTCGATAGCCCCTACTTACTTTTTTTTTCCAGCTCCCAAAGATAAAAAGACAATTACCTTATACATTATACGTATGTTTGGTGTTGGGTCATCAGTATAAAGTCAAAATATACCATCGGTCCGTAGAGGGAGTCAACTAGGCCACGGGCAAAGGTACCCCCTATGTTATCCTAATGTCGGCGGTCGCCGGATGCGGATTCTCTTCACGCCTTTAAAGTTTCAACCCCACATTCCTTCCCCCTTCACTTTAATGCACGGAAGACATACAAGGTATAAATACAACGTACTATACTGATAAAAGCATCTTCATAAAATAATTTATATCATGTCGAGTTGTCCTGTCCCTAAATATTCACTTGAGTGTATGGAATACTTCGTAAAGCATTTATACCACGCAATGCATCGGTAATTATATCAATGTTTATACTGCCCGAAAATTTTGGCTATACATATTGAAATGTGCATTTCATGAGATCTTGCAAAGATCCCAAGTGAATATTTAACAAAATGAAATACTGTTTTTTCTTGGCGTTGCTCCAACCTTATAATCATAGACATCAATAAATTCAGGAAATTTCGTACGGTCAGAGTCAACTGAAGAGCGATGCACACTGCCCTCCAACATGTGAAGACATGCAGAGACTGCAATGAATGCATGGATGCATGCAGTGGTCTCGCAAACGAGCGGTGGTCAGATCTTGCTGCTTATCGAAGTCATTCAAATGCTGACTCTTGACTTCAATTCTCAACCAACTCTTTAAAGAAAGCAAGAACTTCAAGAAACCCTAGACTGATTACGAGTGCTCTAAAATCTCATCTATTGATTGACACAAGAAGTGATGTGACGTACAGTAAATGGATAGACCTATCTTTGCCGTGAGATTATAAGTGAATGTTTAGACAAGCGAGACGATGTTTAACGCCCGGTAGAACTCCGACTAATCGTTGTGCATGCCGAGTTTGTAAACGAGTTTTAATATAGCTAGAATTATGCGAGCTACTTTATCTAATGTTCTTTATATTTTAGTGTTAAATTAGTAACAAGTAAAGCATGGAGAGAGAGAGCCACAATCGTTATGAGGGTCAAATGTCCTAAGAATACTTGTTAGATATCCTTAATAAGAATGTTTCAAATATCGAAAGGAGCGACTATACACATCATAAAGAATGTCGGTGTGCTAAAACTTGAAAAGCTTACCGATCTAATTTAGTTACTCAACACCGTTACAACAAAATCCTCGCATATGACACGATAGAGATAGTCAATTTAACTTCTGTTACCGCTTAACAGGTGGATGAAATAATCAAGTACAGTACGCATAAAATCATCTTTATGTTCACGTAATGTATTCAATATCTAGTAGGCTATGTCATCTCATTTAATATATCATTATTCAAAATGTAATTTAGAAAATAAGTGTCATTGTAATAGGAGATTAGTTCACGGGTAATGGCACTATCTTCACAACATATGTGAACTTTAACTTGAAGACAAAAACTTCACTTATTCCAGTAACCGACATTTTAAACCTTTTTGAAGATGCCCGCGTCTCCTCGTAAGCATTGTCGGCTGTGGTGGTGAAATCTCGACAAGGATCACAAAATATTATCTTATTTTGCTCCAAACAAGGAAAGTACAGACAAAGGAAGAACATGTAATTAATAATTATGGTTAATACCAAGAAAAACTTCAAACTAATTCTCATATGACAAATTTACCACAAATTAAAACCCAAAACTGGTATACTTGTGATAAATTTACTCTCCGTTAAATTTTATTTTCAAATTACTGAGTTAAATGACACGTGACAGTTGACGGGTATACCGGTTTGGAGTTTTACCCTCCATTTATCACATGTATACTAATCTGTGATTTTCGTGATAATAATCCAATTTAACGAAACTAACAGAGGGTAAATTTGTCACAAATGTACCAGTCACGTGTATCGATTTTGATTTTTGATGGTCAAAAAATTAATTTTAGGATAAATTTGTTACAGTATTAAGCCTAATAACTATCACCCGGAATAAGGAATAATTCACCCCCTTGCCTGATGAATTCAAGTTGGTGAATCATCATATTCCTTTTGTCATCTGGGCATTATTCTTTCAAGACCCACCTCAGAATCAATGCAAGTAATCCTCTCGAGAACGTTCTAGCTGGCAATTCGACATTATCAATCATTAATCACTCAGACGACTCGAGAAAAAAGTCAAAAAATGCCAAACGAAAGAAGAAGAGAAGAGAAAAAGAAAGACAAGTTTGACTTTTTCCACGTCGAATTGGTCAGAAACAGGGCATTGGTCGAGAGGCATTAAACTCCTTCCCACAGCACGAAGATTTGGCCATTAAAGAATAGGGGAATATAATGCAAGTGGATCGAATTATGCATGGGAATTTCATTCTTCTTTTTCTCTCTCTCTCTCTCTCCTCTTGGGAGCCCACGCGTTCGATTTCAGTGTGCTTTTTCCATTCATAAGCAATAAAGGCTCTAAAGAGACGTGCTTTAAAGAAGGAAATGCGAAGACGCGTTGTGTTTTACAGCTAATTTGCAGTGTGTGTCCCCGTTCATTAGGCTGCTTTCCCAAAGACAAAAGGCACGACGACCACGGTCTTATTACGCTCTTTGTCCACCACCGATGATGCTGTTAGCCTAATGCCTACACGAAGATGGCGACATGCATCGTGCATTATTCAATTCTTGCATTCTATCTAAGCCCTAGCTAGGTTTGGCTGGGGGAGTTATCATGCTTTCCTTTGGCCCAAAAAAGGGTTTCGTTCTTCTTTTCATTTTTTTTTATTCTTGGTGTCGTAATGTATCGATATGTTACGAGCTCTCCCTTGGATACAATTAGGGTTTTAGAAATTAGGAAATTTTGTGATTTCACGTCGCAATTCTTGAGGAGCAAAATTCCGTCCGAGAGATAATTGTGGTTATGTCTTTGTCATATGTAAGAGTTAGGATGATTTTTTTTTATTTCTATTTTTTGTTACGAACGGCTTGTCACCCTTGATAGATCGAGAAGTAATTAATTTCCCTGGGATTTTGTTGATATGTTTTGGGTTACGTGTGACATTCACAAATTAGTGACCGATTGATGATGATTAGCTAGATCTCTTTGCCATTAGATTGAACCTAGTAAAGATTGAGTTGCTAACGTGAGGGCAAGATGGGGGGAACTTATTATCTTTATTTCCCTCGCGATGCTAAAAATGGGATGGACAATGGCACCATTTTTGGTTGGTTCTTGGCTTGGAAAAGGTAAAAATCATCCTTGGATTTGAATTCATTAAATCTCTCTGTCTCTTCAATGACCTAACCAGCTGATTAGAGGAGGAGGGTGATGCTTTTTTGGGCATTGCTTGCTCGTGTTGCAAAGAGAAAGTAATCATGGTTCCCTTCCGTGTACCTTTTTGGAGCCCTCGTTTTCACCTTAGTCACAGCCATGAAAGTTAAAATGACCACTAGGAATCACTTTCACGAGCCTGTCTTGAGACACTCGTCCTGCTTCTCTTGCCCTCGTTCACGGCGGCTCGACCCGTGTTCATGTCGGACGTCAGATTAACCCCTACAAAATCATCTTGTATACGAGCAATCATCTAAAGATGGATCTTTACTTACAAATCATTCGACGATTCTCTGCCGCCGCCAGACATGGGACTCAAGATCTTAAATCATTCCTCACTAAAGCCCCCTAAATCCCATACAGCTCAAACTTCAAACTGACAAATGAATAGGAGTTCGATTATCCTCTTGGGTCATTCGGAAAAATAACGAAAAGAAGGTTCGGTTCGGTTCGGTTTGGTTTTTGCACACAACCCTCGTCTAGCACTTTGGAATTGAGAATTTGAATTAAACTACATTCTGAGTGATTAATTTTCATTATCCGGAGTTGCCTATATGCACCATAATCGCAAATTCATAAGGAAAATGCAAATACTAGGTAGCCAAATTTTTCAAAGTGTAGGCCGGCAATCTTGTCTGTACTAGGCCCAACCGAACTTGTCATGTTCTTTTCAACTCTAGGCCCAATAGGCTCTAACAGGCCTGATGGACTTAGATCAGAGAGGCCTAGCCTAGTACGTGGTAGGTAGGC